TCAGCGTGGAAAGCAACGAGAATGGCCGGAGTGACGCACTTGCCGAAAGCTCGTTGGTTGGCTTGGTTCCGCTCTGCAGGTCGGGTGTCTAATCTCTGCTGACCGTTAAGTGTGCAAAAGAAGGAAAGAAGCTGCCGGAATGATGAAGGTAACGTAGAGTTTTAAAAGTAAAAAGGATGATCGGTATTCAGGTTAGATATGGCAAATCAAATGATTTTCTGTCGCAATAATTAGGATATTTTTCTTCTCTGGAGTATATACATGGAAGTGACAGTTGGCAGGATTTCCTGCTGTTCGACTTTGATAGTTAAAGCCTTTTGTAGCATCCCGTAGAGGTTGAAGACCGCGACGCGCGTAGATAGAGGAAAATGGACACCGCCATCTTATAGAGCGGGAAAAATAGAAGGGGATAGCGTATAGTTTAAGATGCACCGGCCTTATAGTCACCGCTAAATGACGAAAAATATAACGCGCGGCCGCCTTTCAAATTCAAAGTCGATGAGCTTGTTTACCTTGCTAGGAAAAACACGACACTGACCCACGAACGCATTTTTGCGTTCGCGAACTAGTCCGTGTATCATTACGCGCTTGTCAAAACGATATTTGGCTAATTATGTGTCTGCTGGTACGTATTTATACCTTTAAAGTCTTTTAGTAATGTTATTATACTTCAATTGCATATTTTTATATTTATCTATACCCTCATATCGAATCCTGCGCATCGAGTGTTTCACACTTTCTTGCGCCAGCCACAGGTTGACAGCTCACCAACCCGCTCATTTCGAGATTGAAAGCCGGTGAGAAATGTTGCGTTTCCAGTGTTGTGTTGATTCTGGGTTCTTTTTTAAGACCTTTACAGTGGCATCGAAGAATAATTCGACTTCAGTAACCATCCCAGTTTTATATCTGAGCCCATCAAGAGCTCCAAAGGACGAAAAAGGTGATTAAAATCGAAGCAATCCCAACAGTACAAAGAAACGAAAGTTTCACGTTTCCGGATATAAAGGTATTTGGTTTATTATTTTACGGTGTGAATGCAGCTCTGTCTTGCCGTACATACCGTGGTGGAGAGAATGTGTCCTGGGGGGTGTTGGGGGGCTTGCCCCCATCAACCCTCCCCTCGGGCAGTGCCCGAAGGGCACGCCTAGTCACGGCAATTTATATTGATATATTAGGTTGGTTGGTTTATTGGTCAATACGTTTTTGGGGGGGTTGGAAGGTGTGAATTCCCGTGGATTTTTTTGCCGAAATGTGGGTTGGGTTCCCGTAGATTTTTTTTTAATTTGCGTCAGTCCGTAAACTTTCAAAGATGGCGGTTACATCCGTAGAGTTTCATTGGCCGATTTTAAGCGCTTTTTGTGCTAGTTTTACGCATTTTTGATCGTTATTCTTCTTATTTAAGCTTGTTTTACCCCATAATTTCCCTGATATACTTCATGCCCTCCCCTGCTAACGGGACTATCAAATCAAGATCGTCGATGGAGAAATGGTACTCGATCTCCTGAACGATTCATTCGCAAAAGAAACAACGCCGAAAATCGATGAAATCATAGGATTTCATGCTGAAAAACATCATTTTTTCGACTTGGTCTCTGCGAGGGTGCGTCGCGGTCTTCAACAATTACCGTACAAAGAAACGAAAGTTTCACGTTTCCGGATATAAAGGTATTTGGTTTATTATTTTACGGTGTGAATGCAGCTCTGTCTTGCCGTACATACCGTGGTGGAGAGAATGTGTCCTGAGGGGTGTTGGGGGGCTTGCCCCCCATCAACCCTCCCCTCGGGCAGTGCCCGAAGGGCACGCCTAGTCATGAACCCGCCTACAATCCTGGTGCTGCAAAATATTGTTTTTATATACGACAAAAGCGCATCCTGCTCTACTCCCAGACTGCAAGGATCCATCAGTGTAGCATTCATACGCATTGGGCATAGTTTGAAGGTGCTCATTGATAATTGCTAAAGCATACTGCTTAAGTACAGCAGGGAGGACACTGTCTTTTTTGGGGGCAGTCGTATAAAATACACTTAGGTCCGACATTTTCCACGGTGGAGCAGAACGTCCATGTAGGGTCTTAGTTATGGATATGTTCAGCTGAGACAAGTGCTTACATGTTACTTGTTGCCATGGATTTGAATTTGAATCGATGTTGCCATTCAAAGTTAGCTCCACTATTCTATGTTTTAGTTGTCTTTGGAACTCTGTACAATAGAGGGGTTCTCTTATTGCTTTGACGCTAAATGTGGTGTTTATGTATAATATTCTTTCATAGACAGACGGCAAATTAAGTTCTGATCTCATATTCACAATCCTCGTTGTCTTAGGGGCACCGAGAATAAGCCTCATGGCCTCATTTTGTACAATTTCTAAACTAGCCAACTCTGATTCCTTGTATAATACTAGGTGCAATGCATGTTAATCTATGACCGACCGTATGTATGACAGGTAAAAGAGTCTAGCAATATTGACATTAATACCATGGTCTTTGCCGACAAGTGTCCTAAGTGGCTTCAGACGTTCCCACAGCCTTTTCTTCAGGTTTTGTATGAACTCTGCATCATTAACAGCCACCCGATATATTTGTATTGGTGACAGAGATCTAGCTCAACGTCATTGATGTGATGAAACCTTGGCAGAGGGATTGTTTTAGGGTTAAGTGCCTTGGTTTTTTCAGTCGATATTATCAAGCCACACTCTGTAGCCCTTGCTGAAAGCACATGTAGCCCTTGCTGAAAGCACATCAAGGATCTGTTGCATTCTCTCCTCGGATGAGGATTTAATGCAAATATCATCGGCATAGCAAATAATGGAGTCACTGCCCTCAAGTGGTATATCGCCTAGTAATCTATGCATTAGGATGTTAAATAGCATGGGACTAAGTACGCCTCCCTGAGGTGTGCCGAGTTCACACTTTTGCATGAGTACTCTTAACACCCCTGAAGAAAACCTGAGCCGATCGATTGGATAGATATATTTGAATCCATGTTAAGTTTTCCCTGAATACCAAAGCTAGCTAGTTGCTCAAGGATCATTTCTCTGTTTGCAATATCAAAGGCAGATTGAAGATCAAGAAATACGGTTTGCAAGCCTGGTATTGAGTTTAAGTATTCTGCAAAACAATGCTGACTGCTACGTCCTGGGAGAAATCCATACAGTCTGGGGGATAACTTAGCATGTATACGGTACATGAGTCTGTTCAGAATTATTCTCTCAAGTACTTTGCACAGACAGGAGGTCAAGGAAATTGGTCTGTATTTGTCAGTGTTGGATTTGGGTATAGGGATGATTAAACTTTTAGTCCAGGAGCTTGGGAGGATTCCTTGTGATAGGCTGAGTATATACAGGTGTAAGAGTGGGTTGCCTGGCACCTGCGCAATGAGGCGACGAACACCGTAAGAGTGGGCTGTCTATAAACTTTCAAAGATGGCGGTTACATCCGTAGAGTTTCATTGGCCGATTTTAAGCGCTTTTTGTGCTAGTTTTACGCATTTTTGATCGTTATTATTCTTATTTAAGCTTGTTTTACCCCATAATTTCCCTGATATACTTCATGCCCTCCCCTGCTAACGGGACTATCAAATCAAGATCGTCGATGGAGAAATGGTACTCGATCTCCTGAACGATTCATTCGCAAAAGAAACAACGCCGAAAATCGATGAAATCATAGGATTTCATGCAGAAAAACATCATTTTTTTTCGACTTAGTCTCTGCAAGGGTGCGTCGCGGTCTTCAACAATTACCATGAATAAATATCGCGCGGTGTACAGCGGCAGATATTCTGATCTAATTCCCGGCCACTGGGATCGCGCCACAATCTTTCAATGTTCTGTGTATGGACTTGTGGGTCGTGTGGGTTTACAAAGTTCTCAGAAAGATTAATACTCAGATGTTTGTAGCCATGATGTAGGTTTCGCTAGGCAGCCCATCCATCACTGTATATCATACTGTCTGGTTTTATATATTTCTTAATTAGGGGTATGAGCGTGTCAGCACTCCTGTCACCGTCCATTAGTGGCACAATGAATTTATTTTTACTGACACGCTCAATACCCCCAAAGACCCACACGTGGCTCACCTGTCTGCCCCTGTTATACTTGCGCCACACGAGCAGCGTCTCGTCGATTTCAACGATTACCCCGGCACCTCCTATTGAATTTTGATTTTGTAACCACCAATTTTGGGCTACTTCAGAACAAAAACTCCTCCAATCTATGCTACTAGGTCTAGACATGCCAATACATTTCGTGAGTTTCATGATCCCAATACTTTTGCAACCAATGGTTAACAAATAAAACTACTTTATATGGTGCCAGATGGGTTCCCTGCAGAAACGTGCTGCTGTAATCGCTGAACTTTTACGACGTTTTGTTTTTGCGATTTTTTTCCATCTCTCACAATACCACGTATGTCGATCTTCACGGTATTTGCAAGGTAAATCGTAGTGTAGACACTACTGCCCTTGGCGAAACACCATGTGCTCTCAGGAATTCTATAGCGTCATTATTTTTCTCAATCAGATGTTACACTATAGTAATGAGGGTTACACCCGACGCACCTGAGATCCATGAAGACAAAAGATTTATTATACTCGCTTTACTCTACCACTATACGTGCATGTTCCACACACGGTGTCGCGTGATTGGTCAGTAGTATTTCCTGTAATACTATTGGCTTTCGTGTCAGTGTCACATGCATGTAGTGTAGAATATTTCAAAATGTTTCATGCGCAATAACTACAATAACATTTTTGATTTTGAAAATCCCTTGCATTTCTTCAGGCCCCTCTTGCTCGTAATATGGGTGAGACTCCTCGATTTGCGCAGAGCAAGAAATTTATTTATTGTAAATACTCAATATCATGCGAGCATTACTGGTGTATTGTCATATATTTTGATACACAAAATCTGCTTCGTGTACCGTTATGTGGGCTTTATCTACGCACGAATCTCGGTGATTAGAATAATTGTACAAAAATGAAACGGCATCATGTTTTGTTTACAAAAAGGAAAGGATATCGGATGGCGATTTTTAAAATATTGCGAGATGAAGTTCATAGAAAAGTTTCTTAGAATCACTCAATCTATCATCTGTATGTTATTTTTCGTCTAAACGAAGGCTGGCAGAAATTTTACATGTACCTATATTTTAAGCTGCAGCGCCATCTTATAGAGCGGGGAAAATTGAAGGGATAGAATATAGTTTAAGATGTGCTGGCCTTGTAGTCACCGATAAATGACGAAAATATAACGCGCACTTGCCTTTCAAATTAAAAATCGATGAGCTTGTTTACCTTGCTAGGAAAAACACGACACTGACCCACGAACGCATTTTTTGCGTTCTCGAACTAGTCCGTGTATCATATACACTCTTGTCAAAACGATATTTGGCTAATGTGTTTACTGTTACACATTTATGCCTTTAAAGTCTTTTATTAATGTTATACTTCATTTGCATATTTTAATATTTATCTATACCCTCATATAGAATCGTGCGCATCGTGTGTTTCACATTTTCTTGGTCCTGCTGCCAGGTGTCACACCACGGCGGGCGTTCACTTCAACCTAAAATGCCGGTGAGAAATGTTGCGTTTCCAGTGTTGTTGATTCTGGCTTATTTTTAAGACTTAGTGGCATCGAAGGATAATTTAGACTTTAGTAATCATCCCAGTTTTATATCTGAGCCCATCAAGAGCTCCAAATGACGAAAAAGGTGATTAAAATCGAAGCTATCCCGATAGGACCAAGAAACAACGGTAATTGTTAGAGCAACGCACCCTCCCAGAAACAAGTTGAAAAAAATGTTTTTTGCATTACGATTTCATCGATTTTCAATGAGTCGTTCAGAATATCGTGCACCATTTCTCCATCGACGATCTTGATTTGATAGTCCGTTAGTAGGGGAGGGCATGAAGTATATCAGGAAATTACGGGGTTTAAATAAGATTATTATCATCGATTTTACGGACATGAGCCAAAATTCAAAAACTACGGGAACCCAACCTGTTTTTCAGCAAAACTCTACGGGAACTCACACGGTTCTAAACCCCCAAAAATGTATAGACCAATAAACCAGCCTAATATAACCATTTCAGTTAATGTGACTAGGCGTGCCCTACTGCCTAATGGCAACTTATATTGTAAGGTTAGCTGGGTTTCTGGGTCAGAACGTTGTTTTAGATGGTATGAAATACTGTATATTATTGTATATTGTATATATTGTAGATTATTAATTACCGAAAGAGGTGTTGGATTCCCTTAGTTTTTCGAATTTTGGCGCGACAGTCCGTAGAACAATATTTATATCAGATTTATTCTCGTGTGACGAAAACGAATATGATCATTTCCATAACAATCACAGCTGACAATCTTGAAGTGTTCAAGTTCCAATAGCAGGGGAGGGCATGAAGTATGTCCTGGAAAGTATGGGGTAAAACAAGCTGGAATAAGAACTAACAGGAATGTTTAAAACCACACTAAAAAGGCCTAAAATTGGCTAACGAAACTCTACAGATGTGTCCGCCAACGTTAAGTCTGTGCCGACGCGTCAATTAAAAAAAACTCTACGGAAATCCAACCACCTTTCGTTAAATGCTATGGGAATTCTCACCACCCAATACGTCCTGACCAATAAAGCAACCTAATTCCATGTCAAATTTTATTCAACAATGTTTCCATGACTAGGCAACTGCCTAAGGGGAGGGTTGATGAGGGACTCTGATTTTCACCTCTGTGCGGCAACAGAGCTGAAAACATACCTTAAAGAATAATCCAAACCCCTTTATATTGCGAGACCTCAAACTTTCCTTCCCTTTTATTTTCTGGATGGCTTGGTTTCTGATCACTTTTTCTGGCACTTTAGAGCACTTTACTGGCTCGCATATCAAGTTGATAGTCTTTTTTCTGCATAACTACTATGTTTTAGAAAGGTGCTGGAATAGACGCAACAATGAAAACATTCCTCACCGGCGTTTTGTCGAAGAATAGCGGTTGGGAAGTCTTGAAAGTCCCAGTGGAAAGCGAAAGTGTACATTAGGTTTTTGTGAATAGTTTAAAATCATCAAAACACAAAAAAAATACTAAAAATAAAGGAATGCATAATATGCATGACAAGGAAATCAGACGTTGGAAGTTACAAAATAGTCTTCAGAAGCGGGTAGCAATACATGAACTACTTGAAAGGTTGCAGGAACGAGTTAAGCAGTCAGTATTGTTTACATTCGCGATGTCAACAGGGCGAGCGAGCGTTTGTTGGGTTTACACCTTTGTTCATTAAGCATGTTTTACCCTGTAATTTCCTTGATACTTCGTGCCTTTCCCTGCTATCGGGACTATTAAAGATCGTTTATGGAGAAAGGGTATTCCGATCTCAACGATTCATTTACACAAGAAACAAGTCCATTAACCATTTAAATTATTGTATTTGCTGCAGCAGAAAACTTTTTCCCCACATGGCATCAACCCAGTGTTGACCAATAAACACTACCCTTACTTCACAATCTTCCTCTTCTGCCTCCAGCAGTCTTTCTGGTCTAGCCTTCCCACTAATAAGCAACATAACATTAAACCTTTCATATCTCTGGTCAATTCTATCCCATAAGAATAGATGCTGGGAAACTGCTCTTGCCAGTTTGCAGATTGGGGACACTCGCGGTACACATTCCTATCTCGTGTCACAATCTCGTCTACCTATGTTCCTCATGCTGTGTCCCACTTTGTTCCACACCCTATCCTGTTCCTGCATTTCCTAGTTTGCTCTCACATCCCGACCCCCCCCCCCCCAAACATGTAGGACCTACCCTCAGAATCCCTTACCTTTTCCTTGAACTTATTCTCCTTCCTCAGACGCGTAGAGGTTCTCCATTTAGTCTAATTGCCCTACTCCCACAACTCTTTTCCCCTTACAACAACTTTTACCTTGTACTATAACCCATCAACTCTACCATTTTTACTACTATGGTACTCTCTCTAGTACTGGTTATCTAACTTTACCCGAATCATTAACTCGTTCATAACCCCTTACACAACTGTACTTTACTATAGTACTATGACTTTGATGTCCAGCACATTAATTTGTTACAGCTATTAACCATCATCTCTGTACTAAATGTAGGTCGTGTTGCGGTACAAAAAATCAGATATTTCATTACCTCAGTGGGATGACTTTCTGGATACAAGCAAAGCATTACTAAACCTCAATTGTGCTGCCAGGAACGTGAAGCATGCTAGAAACATGCATAGAATTATATATGCACAAAAAATTAAATTTTAAAGGCTCATGAGTAGTTTTTTTTTATGTAGAAATTGTGAGAAGTGATCCTGGCTTAGTTATGCAACATTTTACATTCTCGATTCACACAGAAGTGAGCATTAAAAAAACAGGATCGCCGTCAAAATGGAAGTTGAATATCTTGATAATAATTTGTAGAGGGAGGATACTTTCATCAAGATGCACACAGGCACTCATAGCACTAAAAATATTTGATAAATTGTTAATAATTTATGGTATAGATATTTTTCTTCTAATTCCAATTCTATTTATACGCGTTACTAATCGGGTGTAGATATATAAATTTACTATAATCATTATCATCATAGTTGAAAACGTACGAGTTACTAGTAGTAGTGCCAACTGTTTTTTTTTTTTCGCTTTTTTCATTGCATATGTAGACTACTGCGACTTACCGAAGGATTATTTTATTTATAATGAAGACAGTAATAGGAAAAGGTTATTTTTAATACATGATTTAAAAGGGAAACGTATGCACATCCTAATCTTTATTTTTTTTCAGATCTTCATGCTGATGGCCCTGGTTGCAGTAGCGAAGGCAATGGATCATGAGGACTCGGATGAAGACACTCATGAGGACGTGAGTATTCTTTTCTAGCGACAACAAACGTTTGTAATTGTCTAAAGGCCTCATCACACTAGCACTTTGTCAATTTTTGCCTTTGCACATCAACTTTATTTATGCAAATGGACTGACCTTGTCACTACAAAAGCAGCAAACTTTGTGCCATCCGAGTGCTATCCCGGGAATCGCATAAGTATTCTCATACATATTACTTCATTTTAAGAAATATGTATATTGAATATGGAAATATTCTTGAATAACTTGTATCTTAATTTATCAATAAATAAAAAGTATAGAGCCTCCGTAGTACAATATTAAGACGGAAATTAGTAGGATGGAAATGGTCGCAACAGTCTTCACCTGGTTGCGGTTCTAGTTCATGGGGTACTTGCTTAAGAAGTGCTAGTGTAATAGGGTCTTTAGTGCTATTGCCTTTAGTTCTATATATATCAACCTGATCTATTATTGTTTATATAGTTTATATATTTGTTGTTTTTTTCAGATGACGGATACTGGGAGAATTTTTGGAGTTGGGAGGCTCTCCGCAGGGTGTCTGACTAAATTCCAAGAGTGCATTAGCATTTCACCGCTCTCTGGAAGTTGTTTTGATCAGCTAATAGACTGTGATAATACGGTAACGGTTACTGTTGGCGGAACCAAAGGGACCAAAACCGGTGCGGCGACAGGGACCAAAACCGGTGGGGCGACAGGGACCAAAACCGGTGGGCGACCCAAACCGGTGGGGCGACAGGGACCAAAGCCGGTGGGGCGACAGGGACCAAAGCCGACAGGGCGGTGGAGCGGCAGGGACCAAAGCCGGTGGAGCGGCAGGGACCAAAGCCGTGTGTGGAGCGGCAGGGACCAAGCCGGTGGAGCGGCAGGGACCAAAGCCGGTGGAGCGGCAGGGACCAAAGCCGGTGGAGCGGCAGGGACCAAAGCCGGTGGAGCGGCAGGGACCAAAGCCGGTGGAGCGGCAGGGACCAAAGCCGGAGGCGGCAGGGAGCGGCAGGGACCAAAGAGCGGCAGGGACCAAAGCCGGTGGAGCGGCAGGGACCAAAGACGGCAGGACCAAAGCCGGTGATAACCAAAGCAGGGACCAAAGCCGGCGGCAGGACCAAAGCCGGACCAAAGCCGGTGGGGCGGCAGGGACCAAAGCCGGTGGGGCGGCAGGGACCAAAGCCGGTGGAGCGAGACGATAACCAGTGAAAATGCAGCTGTTGACCAGGTCTCGTAAAACTTTTGTATCATAATAAAATAAGCCAAAGTTCGTATGTATTTTATAAATCAAACCTAACCCACATTCTTGGAATTGGTTCATTTTTTAAAAATCTACTAATATTCTAGACCGTCAAAATAATTAAATTCATTGGCAGTTAAAAATCTAATTTTAGTTTTCAAAGCTTTGATTAACGCTTTTTCTTTAGATCTAAAACTACACGATCGTGTAAATGAAACTATATCTGCTAGACAAAACCAAGATTAGTCGAAATCCGATTTTTTCGGTAAGAATATTACCTTTTTCTCCCTTTACAACGATTCGGCCTAGTATCTTGAATCCGTCTTTTGTCCAAAGTCTGTATGGCAATTGTAGATGCATATAAATTTGGTGAGCTTATCTCAGGACCGCTATTTGTATTAAGAGCAGCCTTGTCTTTAGATCTTTTGAAGAAAGTTGTTCAAATCTACATTTGGCTGGTGGTTAAAGTAAAAATCACAACGGAATTTGTAACGACGAATTTGGACGGCTTTTTTCCGTTTCGAAAATAGGTCCAGACTTTTTATTCCACGATTTCGGTGTCTTGCATAGATTTCTAAAAGTGCATTTTTATTAACAAAGTAATGTAGATAATGACTACCCTTCAGAATGGAGAGTAATTTCATCATTTAGCTAATAACGTCATGAGTAAGGCGGAAAACAGATGTGCACATGCAAATATGCTCATATACAATTGTGGGCAGGCCCCCCCCCCCTCGTGTGGATACGGGAAAGTTAACCATTATGGGAAAGCGAGACCCAATGCAGGGATCTCCCCTGCCATAGGGCCTCAGTCCTCGACTCAACTAATTTTGCATGGTCTTTTCCCCCTCCAGCTTTTGTTTCCATCCCTTCTCCATCCCCTTCTACTATCTACTTCCTAAGGTGTGAGAGCCGTGCTGAGAGGATGAAAGGCTGACCTGGTGCCAGTCCTAAACGGCCTGCGGGAACTATGGGCACGGTACTCCCGACTAATCTAGCCCTTACCTTTCACTAGCGATGGAGGTGGACCAGTTGATGCCTTTTATACAATCCAGGTTCCCCATGACCAGTAATGAAAATGTAATCCCTTTATTAGAGGCAATGAAGCTAGCCCCTTTATCAAATAGCCCCAACCCAGGCTCTCCTTTGACCACGGCTCCGAACACTGAAACTACTACCCACTCCTCAATGCCTACTAGTGCATTACCCACCCAAGCAGAGAATAAATCTCAAGACATTCCTACCCACCCAACTTCCTCAAATTCAACTCCACCCCTGCAACCTTCATCAAACCAATCCTCCCTTATTACTACCTTGCAGCCTTATTCTCCATTCCGTAGTACTCCCTATTCCACACGTCCCCGACCATCCACCACCACCAACCCTACAGATATCTTAAATACTCTTTAGCCCAGCAAAATGGGACCGATTTTTCGTGATCCCTTCTACAGCTCCTTACTCAGGCAACTCACTTATTTCAACAATGCCTCCGAAAACAAGTAGGCAGTCCCTTTCTATACCAGACGCGATCACTCCCATCTTGTAACAGTCGGATCAGAAACTGAATCTATAGCACTGTCAAATTTAACTGAGCATTCTGGCAACCCCATTCCTGCAAAACCTCATCCAACCCTTAATACCTGTACCGGAACTCTCTCCCCCCAGCAAACTGCCCAGTCAATACCAAAGATTGATCAGACTGTGGAGAAGACTTGTTAGGATGCCTCAAAGACCAAGATGTGAAATCGGTACATTGCTACACCATTCCTCCTAAAGGTCAACAAAAGAATCCGACCAACATTGCCAAAATTACCTTCTGTACACATGACCTTCCCTTGCGTATATACATCGGTGGACAATCCCTCCCTGTTCGACCATACCAACCCTCTCCCCGTCAATGTCAAAACTGTTGACGCTTTGGACATCCTGCCAAACATTGCCGTTCCACAGACTGATGCCCCATATGTGCCCAACCTGGTCATAACCGATCAAACTGCTCAGCACAAACGCGAACATGTGCTAACTGCGGCGGCCTCCATAATGTATTTTATAGAGGCTGTCCCACTTACAAGTTTGAATCTGAAGTAGCAACTCTCAGATACAAAAATGGTCTCACTTTACGTGAAGCCAGACAGGAAGCACGTCAAGGTTTCTCTCATACTCCATACTCTAGTAACATTGTTTGATCAGCCCCTCCCCTCCACCCCAAGATGTCCCCATGCCCACTTCTACATTCTACATCCCTCAGACCAATTCTTTTGCTACTCTAAACCCAGACACCCCAATCTCAACCACAGCTCCAATATCAACTACAGCCCCAACCACTTCTACGTTCTACCTCCCTCAGACCAATTCTTTTGCTATTCTAAACCCAGACACCCCAATCTCAACCACAGCTCCAGTCTCAACTACAGCCCCAACACCATCCCCTCTCCCTCCCCGCACTACACGCAGTAGACAGACTAAACGTTCTAACCCTTCCCCTACAGCACAGTCACCTCCACCTACCTTTACCTTTATTCCTGAGACACCAGTCTCCTCTTCCCCCCCTCATAAGAAAACCTTTATCCCACAACTCTCTCCAACCAATTCCATTGCAGAAACAATTACCTTCTCACAAAACTCTCCAACCAATTCCAATGCAGAAACAATGGATGACATCCAAAGTTATATGCTTAAGACACAAGATCCCGTAACTTATGCTCATTCCACACTTGAAGTGGTTGCCGATATTCATACCCCTCCTACTAATAATCCCCCTACACCCCTTCCTCCTACTCCCTCTCAACACACCCTAACCCCCTCAATTCCGTCCACCTCCGATATCCACCCTTCTACCACAAATACTCCCCCCCCACATCTACTCCCTCCCAACACAACCCACCCCCTTCAACCCCAACTATAGGCACATTCTCTCTCCCTCCCTCCATCCCCTCTATCTTTTGCACTCCCTCACCGATACACACGAGAATCACTCCTGTCACAACAATGCCCTTCCCCAAATTCCCTACCTCCTAATATCCCTCCTTCACACACACCCTAGCTCCTCCCCCAGATTCCCCAATACGTACCATATGCGATATCACTCATAAGCTATAGCTCTCCTACGTTGGTCCTCTATGTAATATCCCTCTTTCAGTTCCACACATTCTCTTGTCCTGTCCACGCTTTAATACAACACGTACCTCTGCTTTTCCACACCTATCCTCCCTTCGCCGACCTCCCAACATATCAGACATCCTTACAGAATCCCACAGCTTCTGCCTGGACAACCTGTTCTCCTTCCGCAGACGCATAAATATCCTTCACTTGATCTAACTCCCTTTCCTAAACCACCATAACCTTTTCCCCCATCTTCAACCTTTCAACACTCCTCTAGATAGTTGACACACAGCAACTATCACCTGACATCCCCTTTACTATACCTTCCTATGGTGCTATATGACCTTAGATGTCTAGCACATTTATTTTAACGTTAACCTCCCTAGCTCCTTCCCCTTCTAATTCTCCAAAACGCACTGTAACCATAATCACATAGATCAGCTAAGTAATAGGTCTCTTACGCTGGACCGACCATCATCTCTTTTCCTAAAACCCATCCATTACAGATCCTCCTTTGCCAATTCCCAATTCCCCTATGTAATGTCCCTCTTTCAGTTCCACACATTGCTGTCCTGTCCACACTTTCCCCAACCTATTGTCCCTTCACCGACCTATGACAACCTTACAGAATCCCACACTTTCTGCTTTGACAACCTGTTCTCCTTCCTCAGACGCATACATATCCTTTACATGATCTAATCCCCTTACCTAATCCCATCATAACCCATTCACTCATCAAATCCTCTACCCATCTTTGACCTTTTCAATATTACTATGGTTAGTTGATGAATAGCAACTAACTCCACTAACGCTGGCGCAGTGGTAAGGTGCTGGTCTAGCAATCTTGCGGACCTGCGTTCAATCCCACGCCCGGCCAGTGAGTGGTATCCCCGGCCATTCCTTGCACACAGGGGGAGATTTGGGCAAAATAAAACAGTATGTCACAGCAAAGAATATCCATTGTAACAAATGGAATTAAAACTAAATATTTAATCTTAATCTTTAATCTTTCCTATACCTTCCTATAGTGCTACATGACCTTCAAGGTCTAGCACATTTAATTTGCTTTTAACCATTAACCGTTATTTTTTGGTGGAGGTGGAGGGTAATGGTGCAGAAGAGTGGCTTATATCTGAAATATGGCGTAATAAAGATTCTTCGTTTCAAGACGAAGATTTCTGCAGTAAAGGTGGAACGACACATCTCGCAGAAAGCGCTGCAGGAATCCCCATCAACCTTCTTCAGTCACAGTTCTGAGCTGTGTGAAGCCAACCGTTTCTAAACTTTCTCTTTGGCAGCACCCTTCAAGATCAACATATTAATAAACACCTCAGTCTCAATATGCGCACTTCATTAGCCTTTGGCGGCATTGCTTCATTACTCTTGTTTTGATGAAAATCTTACTTTTCTGATATTGGTGAGTTGATCTAACGTTCGACTTCAAATAAAGCTGGTCATTAAAAAGGAGATTTCGAAATGCAATCAAATAGCTTGATATGGGAAATGCATAACTCTTAGGAAAAAAGAAGGCAAAACTAGCATAAACTGCATCAAATATTGAGGGGCTTTTTTTTTGACAAACTATTTAAATCTATTTACCTAATATGCTAAAAATATACATTTAGTAAGAGAGGCCATGGGAAAGTCATGAAGTAACAAAAATTTACTGAACAGAGTGGATTAACATGGCAAAGAGCTAACTCCACTTTTTCCTTTTGCAAAATATCTTGCTTTTGTGAAAATAATGAGAACCTGATTTAGGTGCTTCAGAATGGACAACAAGTGTTATTCATTTTGTTGGCCATCACTGACCAATAAATAATTCCCACCTACCTGTATGTTGGTGCATATCAATTGGCATGTCTTCCTACAGGCAGCCCAAGAGAAGCACTCCATTTCTCCTCTTCAGAACATGCCTATAAACACAACTATCCTCAAAAAGGTCTAAAATTGTGAAATGCAGAACATTCTTCAACTTTCAATTGTGTCAATTGAGTATAGCATACATTTATCTTTAACTTACAAATATGTATCTGAACTTCTGCAAGAGAATATATCATACGAAAACATTTACCAAAGTTACATAAGACACACCTTAAATTACAAGGAATCCACTTCATACTTATTCTTACACACAAATAATA